GAAATATATTCCTGAGTGTCAGCTGATGAATCTCATTTGCAAATTTCTTTTTACTGAAGTTACAGATCCCCAGCCTGTGACTTGCCTTGTTCTAACTTAAAATGCTGCTTCTTTCTCCTCCGAGCTGTTCCACTATTTTAACAGTGCTGAGACAAGGACAAACTTTTCATAAAATTGGAAACCTGCTCATCGACTGAATCAATCATCCTGCAAGAGCAAAATCTTCACTTTGACTTACGCTGGAGGCAAAAGGGCTTTGAAAGTCACTTAAAAAATGATATTGCTTGCCTTTATCTTCCCTGTTTTGCTTTTCTTCATTTAAAAAAAAAGAAAAGAAATATGCTTATATATTAACCCTAACATTCCAGGATGTAAGCTGGGAAGAGTTTATTTCAGTTGCAGAAATTATATATGGGACTGGAAAAAATTAGAACGGTGCGTCAGATTATTTGAGATTTAACTGCAATATATTCTAATAGGCCAATTGTCCATTGCTGCTCAGTTTGGCTTATTGCATCCATTGATACAGAGGAGGAGGAGGAGGAGGAGGAGGATGGGAGGAGGAGGAGGAGGAAGAAGCAGAAGCAGAAGAGGAAGAGGAGGAGGAGGAGGAGAAGAAGGAGGAGGAGAAGAAGAAGAAGAAGAAGAAGAAGAAGAAGAAGAAGAAGAAGAAGAAGAAGAAGAAGAAGAAGAAGAAGAAGAAGAAGAAGAAGAAGAAGAAGAAGAAGAAGAAGAAGAAGACACCAATCAGCAAGTATAGCTGGATGTAAGTCCTTCATTCCCTAAACCGATAAGGAATTTATTGAATACTGAATAAACTGCACCTGGCTTGGTTCATCTCGAGTACTAAGCTGTCCTTTATGACTTGGCCGGAATGTGCTGACTTCAAGTCAAGCCAGGCCAAGCAATCCCATCACAACTGAGTGCAATACACACATTTGGTCAATCTTCTTCTTAGACCACAATTCTTTCTCAACTGGGGATTGTAATACGGTGCATAAATATTTCTTCCTGTGGAATAAATTGCCCGAGGCCGACAGGAAACTGCACACAAGTTATACACCGCCTTCCCCAAACCCAACCATCTTCCTCCGATCATAATTCATCGCAGGGCAAATGGGAGACGATTTTCTTTGGCTTAAGCAGCAGGAAGTGCCGGCTAACACAACGGAGCAATCAGCACGTTCCACTCAGCCCAAAGATCCCTTGAAACCTTCCACTAATCTATCCCCAACTCTCTGCTGGTTGTAGGTTTTTTTTAAAGAAGCTTTAATGCCCGATGCATTAAAATAAATATACTTTTCCCCTTGTAGGAACTCCAAACGGCTGAAACATTGATTTCGCCTGCACAGTATGTTGTCAAACTGCGCAAGGAAATTGTGCCTTAATATTTGGAGAGAGAGAGAGAGATACAAATACCCAAAGAAGATGATGCTGGAATTTTTAAAAATAAAAACAGATGCATTTATTTGTCTGAAATGGTCTAGGCTCTCCTGCTTGAGCAGGGAGTTGGAGGAAGACCTCCAAGGTCCCTTCCAGCTCTATTCCAACTCTGTTTTTCTGTTATTCTGCTATGGAGATGGAGGAAGGGAGGGAGGGAAGGAAGGAAGGAGGGAAGGAGGGAAGGAAGGAAGGAAGGAAGGAAGGAAGGAAGGAAGGAAGGAAGGAAGGAAGGAAGGAAGGAAGGAAGGAATTGAGGGAGGAAAGAGGAGAAGGAGGGAGGGAGGGAGGGAGGGAAGGAAGGAAGGAAGGAAGGAAGGAAGGAAGGGGAAATTGAGGGAGGGAGGGAAGAGAGAGAGGGAGGGAAGGAAGGAAGGTGGCAGGGAAGGAAGGAAGGAGGGAGGGAAGGAGGGAGGAAGGGAAGAAGGAGGAGGAAACTGAGAGAAGGAAGGAAGGAAATGGGAACTGGATTTCTTTTTTTACATTTTCGATCTCATTTGCTTCACACTAGAATATTATTTAATAATAATAATAATAACAATAATAATAATAATAATGTTGGAAGGGACCTTGGAGGTCATCTAGTCCAACCCCCTGCTCAGGCAGGAAACTCTATACCATTTCAGACCAATGCCTCTCAACTCCAGAGGGAAGAGAGGATGGAAGGAAATTTACACACGTGTAACAGATTGGGACTACCTGATTCTCCTGTAAAGGGTCTTGTTCTAAAGACCAGATACAAGTACCGATAAAAGCCAGCATTTTCCTAACCTCTTAAAAGCCCCCAGGACGGCTTTACAATCAGACAGAGAGAAAATGCGAAGAAGTCTACACCAGCATGGGAAGAACCAAACTCTCCTAATTTGTCATTAAAAAAACCAAAAAACAAAAGAACCCCCTGCCAACTGGAGAAACCGAACGAAGGGAGAGGAGAAGAACGGGAACGCTTAAAAAATAAATCTGTCTCCTGTTTTGCCACCCTTGCAAATAAAACCCAAATAAAATGGGAGGAAATTTGCTGGAAGCCTCAAATCAAAGCCAAACCTGCTTATCTCAGCCA